GTGTGCACACATTGTCTTCTTTTTGTTTCCTCAAAAGAAAAGCTTGTCAGTTAGTTTATAATGAACAGCTTGATTGTTGTTGGCAAGATGCACTTTTGTCATCATTTTAGGGTTTAGACAATTTCAACAGACAAACTTTTCTCTCGATTTTGGATTTTAGTATTTTATCCCAGGCTGCAATCCATCTCCACCTGGTCATCAGATGCAATGTACCTGGGGAGTATGACATTAACGATGAATTATTTTCTGGCATAGCCACTATCATTGACGAATTAAAATACAATGTGCATTTCTTTTTTTTCTTTTTCCCCCCGGGCCCGGCCCCCTTTTTCTTTTCTTTTCTTTTCTTTTTTTTCCTTCGCGCGGGCCCGGCCCGCTTTCCTTTTCTTCTTTTCCCCCCGCCGCTGCTGGGCCTGGCCCGGCCCAACCTTCTTCCTTCCTTCCTTCCCCCTGCGCCGGTCGCTCTCTCCTCCCCTGTTCTCCCCTGTGCGCGACCGAAGCGTGACGCACGGCGGCGCCGCTCCTCATCGTCGTCATCCGGTCAGAGGAGGCCCAGGCGGGCACGCCACAGGGACTGGCCATTAAGGCCAGTCCCGTCTTCCCCATCTCCCAGGCTCTCTCTCCCTCTCTGCCCCGTCTCTCTGCACCTTCACTGAACCGGCCCCCCCCCTTTTTGCTCTGCCCTGCACCGGCCTGCAAATGGCCACGAAAGTCGTGGCGTGGCGTAGGCCGGTGCGGCGCCGAGGTCACGCCACGCAGAGGCGGAGAGATCGTCGTCGCCGCCTATAAAAGCCGGAGAGAGAGAGAGGCCCGGTCGGCCGTTTTTTTTAAAAAAAAAAAGAAAGAACGAGAGAGAGAAGCCGGGAGAGAAAGAAAGAGATTGAGCGAGACAGAGAGACGGAGAGCTCATCCGGCGGCCACCGCGCCTCAGCCATCCATCCCCGTCGCCGAGCCGACGGCGGCGACACAGAGAGAGAGTCCCGGTCAGCGATTTTCAGAGAAAAACAGAGTGAGAGGAAGAAACCAAGAGAGACCGAGAGAGAATAGAGAGAGAAAGAGAGGAAAGTGGGTTTTACAGGGTCCTCGCCGCGTCGCCGTCGCCCTCGATCAACCGGAAGTCCCCACGCGCTGCCGACCGGTGAGCCTCTCCCGGTCCAGCATCGCCCCGTTACGCTCCGTCTGCCCTGTTTTTGCACGCGATCCGGCCGGACTCGCGCCGGGCTGAGTCGCGCGATTCCCGGCCTATGCCGTCACCGTTCCGGTCCCCACTCATGATCAAAACGTCGGCGCATGGCCGTCGGAGCCCATCCGTGCCGCCGGACGAGGTCGAAATCGGCGATTTCCACCGCGCACGCCCGGTGTTCGACAAAATGCCTCAATGAGGCCGGTTTTGTCTTGTCGCCGGCCGGCGAAACGGTGGTCCGACGGCGGCCCGGTGAGTGGTGTAGCTTAATGGTGGTACGAGGGGGTCATTTTGGGGTCGGCGCGCCGTGCAGGTCGGCGGCGGGCGGCCAATTTTGGCTCCGCCGGCGTTCCTCCCTGCGGTCTGCGAGTTCGGGTCGGTGAAACCGACCCGGATCCGCCCGACCCGGTTTTATTATAATATTATTTTTAAAAAATAAAAAAATTTAAAAATAAAAAAAATTTAAAAAAAATAAAAATAAAATTTATTTTTTTTCCTTTTTTTTTCTTCTGTATTATTATTATTAATTTTTTTTTTCGAAAAAAAAAATTAAAAAATTAAATTTAAAAAAAAACTTTTTTAAAATTGTATTATATTCTAAATGTTTTATTTGTTATAGTATTATTATGCATAATTTACCATGTTTAAATTAGATAAACCTAGGATTACGTGGTAGTATTTTGCATGATAAGTTTTTATTACCGTTGTATTGTTATGCATGTTTTTAATACAATTGCATGAGCTGTTGTGTTTTGAATGTCATCTGACTTAGTTAAGGTTAGAACCTTAGGCTGCATGAATGGTTGTGTTCCTGACTGCTAATCGTTTCTGATTATGCACTCGCTTGATCACCTCACATGTTAGGAGAAAGATCCTAAAATCAATCCAAATTGCCCGACAAATGTTTTCGAAAATGAACAGGGTAAAATGGTACCGAAAGGGCATTAGTTATCCAACTAGTGTAACCAAGTCCCCGAACTCATTTAATCTCTGGTTCGTAGGAATAGGGTGATTCTCCCATCACCCTATTTGGGTTTCTAATCGACCTACCCCAAATCGATTAGTGGCGACTCCTTGATATAAACCACTTGCATGTTAAAAACTTAAACCCTAAGTCGCGATATGGTATGGGCTTGGGAGAGCCCGAGTTAAGTCCCGAACCTAGACTTAGCACGTACCAGGCGAGCCCCCCCCTTTTTTGCATGTTGTTTAAAAAAGGGCTCGGGAGTTCGGTCGCGACAAACAGTATATCTCCAAGCATGACATATGATTGAAAGAGATCACAAACTTACAGGAGAGGCTAATGACCTAGCCAACGGGGGTATCTTTATAAATCTTGAGAACAGTATGTGGACGGTGCTTCTAATGGCAGAGGACTTCCCGGATGAAAGCAAACTGAAATTGCTGAGCAAACTTATTTTTTTGAGTATAAGGCTAAAGTTTGTGATCTCATTGGCTAGGTTATTAGCCTCCTTACGGAATAAAAAAATAAACTTTATGAAAGAACAACAAAGGCTCACACCCAGTAGCATCTAAGGAACCTGAACCTGTCCTTTAGGCCAAGCAGCAACTTTGACCCATCCATTTATGTTGAGTTGCAATCCACATGGACTATGAAAGTATCTATAAGAAGTTGCTGCTATATGAATGAACTAATCGAGGTATTTTGGTCTTTCATTATTGTCAATGTGACTAAATTATGTTTTAATGATGGTTCAGTAAACGAAAAGGCCATTTATGGAGGCCAAATATGAAAATATGGCATTTAATGTTACCATGTATGAGCATTTAATGTTTGCATTGGATAAGCATACAAGATGATATTGAGCAACGCTTTTAGTTAACAGTTTAGCACTTAATGAGACTATCCATTTGATAACATTAGTTGGTTTTGACTTAACATGTTAAATTCATTAAAGAATTCACTGAATCTTATATAAACAAGCAACGTTTTTAAATTCAGTTAATGGGATTCAAAGCAATTTTTATTAATACACCAGATTTCCAAACCCGGCCGACCTGACTAATCCCCACCCATGGATACATGCTATGCAAATAGTATGGTTTAATATATTGTTACCAAGTTGCTATAATCTACAAATTATATCCGTAACTCCATGTTTGGTAAAATATTATTCACGGCCATTATTCAATTTTTGGTTATTATCGAATAAAACTTTCTTATTTTTAGCACCTTAAGTTATCGATACTATCGGTGGCAAAGTTTTTGGTAGGTATTTTTCAGTTCTAACACACCCTAACACTATTGCCTCTAGACTCCAAGACAAAGGGTGATTTTCAGTTAAGCGTTTTCATAATGTTATGAATGGCTTGGATTTAGAGAGTTGGGGACATTATCGGAAAATATTTTTTTTCTCAAATACGCTACATTATAAGAATAGCTTACTATATTGAGGATAACCAAAAGTCGCACAGACATGTGTGCACAAAAACGGAAAAGCTTTTGATAAAGAAAGAGAAAGTGTAATTTTAATTATTTTAGGAAACTCGATGAAATGATTGTATGATAGGAATCGTAATATAAACTTAAAATCTATGAGAGATTTTTTAGATAACATGATAGTTATACGGCTCTTTTTAATTTTTTGTATACTAGATCAGATGCTGTTCGGGTCAGTTTTTCCCACCTCAACTAGTTTATTTCTCTAGACGATCTTGAAGGTGCACTCCCCATGTCATCGAGGTGCATTCAGAATTTTACTCCTAGAGTGCTCCCACAAACCTTGAACTTAAGATCATAAGGAAAGGAGCAAACTCATTTGCCATCTAAACCAACACCTTGTTGACTCTTTTAATTATCATCATTTTGCACTATATAGTAATACACATCTATTCATCTTATTACGACCATGGATTTTTATACAACATGAAAGTTTGAAGTTACAGTTTGCTTTAACTTTCTTCACCATACAATTAAGAGATCAGACTTATGGGTGTTACAGCAAGAGTAGTTTGAGTTCCTCTTAAAGAAAAATATATATATAGGATGTGAACGAGATATATGGCTACATATATGGAAGCCAAAGTGATAGATACAAATAATATACGGAATAAAGACCTTATCTAATGAATGATTTGGGACACCTAAGAATTCATTATTATGACTTTAGTTTATAGCAAGTCCAATGATCATAGGAAGCGACATGTGTAAATGAATCTTCGATGCTTTCTTACTATAGCGAGGTCCCTTTTGTCTCCTTTTTCTTACATATTCTTAATAAACATCGAAAACTTATATGTATCTAATGTTCAAAATAACAGGAAGGAAATTTCTTCGATTCTTCGTTTGAGCCTAACACATGTGAAGCACAATATGTTGATGTGAATGTATCGATATATAATTCACGAGTAAATTGGATTAAGTAGCAAAATATTGAGAAGATGAAATAGTAGGATTCGAACCTTTGATAAAATATAATATTATGTCAGGTGACCATTTATTTTAAAAGCATAGGCAGTTAGAAAGTATTACGTATATCAAGCATATTTCTTGTTTCAATTTTTCAAGCGACGGAATCTCTGTCCAATAGCCTCTTAGGTGTAGGGTTTTCAAAGTGATGATGCCAAAACATACACCAAAAAAAAAAAATACCCTGCTTCCAACCAGTGAAAATGACATCATGCGACTAGTTTCTTGGAAATTCAATTTGCCTTTAAAAAAAAATCAGTACAAAAACCTTTTGAATTTGGTGGACTTTTCAAAGCATGTGCATGTGGGACCAACGCCATATGATAATGGTAAGCGAGTCTTGGAGCTACTCGAGCATCATTTAAGCCAGGGAGTTAATAGCACAGCCACATTATATCTGTCTCTTCCCTCACGAAGTCATAAGCAAGCTCGAAAATGGTGAGACGCCCACTTAGGCCCAACAAGAACGACAATACAACACTGAAGAAGGGAGTTTGGAGCGCAGAAGAAGATCAGAAGCTCATTGCTTATATCAGGAGATATGGCATTTGGAACTGGACTCACATGCCCAAACCTGCTGGTATGAAATATTCATCTACTGATCTTGTTTTTCGCTGATCTCTGTATCTGGTTTGGTTGGGTATAGTATCAACCTGAGTATTGAATATGTGTGTGAATGACTCAGGTTTGGCAAGAACTGGGAAAAGTTGTAGACTTCGGTGGATGAACTATCTGAGGCCTAACATCAGGCATGGAAACATCACCAAAGAAGAGGAGGATCTGATTATCGAGCTGCACCGATTTTTTGGAAATAAGTAAGTTTGCGCAATCAAACCTCAGTGATAACCTGATAAAAGATTGAAAAAGAAATCACATCTGTGAATTTATCTAGCCTCGCAAAGCAGAGAAAGTACAATCATTAAATTACTGTTGCACAAAACACTTCATTTCTTTTTTCACAGGCGACTTTCGAGTCCACAACAATAGAACTGCAGGTTTTTCTAGATTAATTGTTGTTTTGGATTGTTGCTTTGCCTTTTTCTTTTTTCTTTGTTTTTATTTTTTTTATTTTTTTGGGAAGAAAACCCTTCTTCTCATATGATCATTGGCTCAAATGAATAGCATTGACTATAAGGATACATTTTCTAGGCAAGCTACAATTATTAAAAGTGTATAGCACAAAGTCACACAGGTGCATATGCATATGTACGCACAGAGAGAGTGCTAATGCTCTTCAAACAGCGGAGAAAGGTGTAACATCTATGAATTCAAAGATTTCGGAGATAGAAAATCAAATATAACTCCTAGAAAGTCAAAGTTCGATGGCTTCGGAAACAATGATTGCATAACTTGATGTGAATTGACTAACTATGTTAAGCTACCTACTGTGTATATAGCTTCTTCAAATTAAATGGTGAGGGTATATACGGAACTAGTACCTACAGACAGAGCAAAATTAAGCAAAATTTGAGCATGAGATCTGAGAGATAAAGAGAGAGAGGGAGGGAGACAGACAGAGCATATATACAATTAGGACATGTCCATATATAAGTATAGTACGTGTACTACTTGAACATAAGTTTGTTCTTGTAAACAGATGTATGATTCTTGATTAAATTCACTCGCAGATGGGCAGCAATAGCAGCTAGACTTCCCGGACGGACTGATAATGAAATAAAGAATTATTGGAACACCCGCTTGAAGAAACGCGATGGCAACAGGAACAAGTTGCAAATTCTGACCGTATGTGATATTAAAGTTAAGCCCGATCACAATAACAGCTCATCCCATCCATATGCATCTCTTCCCACCATTGATACTCCGAAATTAGAACCCAACATTAGATCTCAAAATGAAATTCCAACAAGGAGTGCTAATAGCTTCTGCACCTCTTATGGAGTTCACCGTGATGACAAAACCTCGGAGAATAGCTGGTATTCACCATGCAGCGTGATTGAAGAAGAAGAAAGCTTGTGGGAACAATTTCTTGCTCTGAGAGATCTTGAAATTGTAGAGAATTTCGGTGGCATGTACATGCATTCGGGAGCTATGGCCCCTGCCCTTGTGTGCACGCAGCAAGAGCTTGTGTACCGCAGCGGTTCCTGTGAAGAATTCATCATGGATTTATGGGGAAAATGATGATGGCTGAAGGCACTTGTACGCAGATGAAGAGGTGCGATATGATTACTTGTAATGTCCTGTTGAGGGTCATATTTCATTCTAAGGATGGTCTTTTGGATGTAATAAATCTGGGATGCATCTTTAATTTCCAAAGAACGTGAAGTAACGTCACGAGCATTGTGTTTTCTGCAATTTGACTATCGGTGTTGTCATTTCTGTCTAGTGGATTTATCGTGTTCTGTGGAGAAATGAACTTATAATCACAATTCCATGCATGTTCTTTTACAAAGATTGCATGTTTCGAGATGATCAATCTGCGATCTCATTAGCCATCATTAGCTAGTTGGATTGGCAGAGGTATAGCAACTGACAAGGTTTGAATGACTTTACCGTCAAATTACATCTGAAGATTTCTTTCCAACATACAGTGCTTCGGCAAGCTTAATCGCGGTGTTCAGGGAAGTTTTTGATCCTCAGTAACACTACTTCTTTACCTCGCAACAAGATCAAACACTTAGTACAGATGCATATGTCCCATTTTGAATTAGTTTCCAGCAAAAAAAATTACCACATCATCTTTCAAATATTGCTCTAAATTAGGAGGAGGAGCTCATATTCTCCGTACGGTTTTTGGAAAAAGATTGGTGAATACCAAAATGTGCTTGGCTAATAGATCTTAAACGTCATTCCCTAAGTTTGGAGTGTGAAGGTGAACCACAATAAGTTATTTGATGCTTGTTTGCCCGTCAAATTGCCAATGACAGATGATATTGATCCAGGAACATATTCATTTGCGGAGATCTTGCGAATGATCACAAATTTACAATTTTACATCAGTTAAACAGGCTGCAGAAGGATCTTTTGAGCTGTGTTTTGCTTTCATTTTCAAATGCAATCATCGTTCTCTAGGTATAGTTAGTGCAATACTGCATTTTGTTCAGGAATTTGGCATTTATGGAGGTCATCATGGCGGTGAGATAATATTAGTCAACATTTCTGAGTAGTTTCGAGGGTAGTACCTAACAAGGTTTCTTATTCACACAAGTCGCATTACCTATTTTCTTTTGACTTTGGCATATTCAAGGAAAAATTATTGTAAATACTGATTAGATAATCATTTGAGTAAAACATCAATAAGAACGGCCAAATAAAGTTTAGAAATCAATTATTTGTATAAGGATATAGAACACACTTCTAGAAAGTACTCGATTTTCTTTGCAAAATTACAAATAGAGAACAAACCATCGGTTTTCTAATCATTTAAGAGTACACAGAAATAAAATAAAGAAAAAAAAAACAAGTGATATTCTTGGGTCAACCTATCACGCCCCGAACCCCAACGAGCTCGCGCGAGCCCCCGCTCCGGTCGAAATGAGTGCGACGTCCCAGGGAACGTCCGACCCAACTTAATTTAAACATTGAGCCACATGCGGAAGCGAAAATAAAACCCTTGACAAATAATGACCGACAACGGGGTAGAACAACGTAACAATCCAGCATTGACATAATCATACAATACCAAATATACAAACATCATATTACAGACATAAATACAGACTAACATCCTAAGTCACCGTTTAAACAAAAGTTCAGGGGTTTGGTTATCTTAACTTCACTATCGGATAACCCAAGTTATACAACCCCTAAAACACCCTAGGGGAAAACCTAAAGGTCGCCCTCTTCCATTCTGCCCAATTTCTGGCTTGAATCTCTGGAACTCACCATCTCCACTTTGGGCACCAACAAGCCTCGGACTTCCAAAAAAAAGGCGCACTTCCGTTTAGGGCGGGTGCGAAAGTGGCGGTTATACAACCGTGAGACGAATCTCAATAAGTGTACAACCCCAAACCCCACGTAGGCACTCACGTACCGCTGCACGAAAACACATAACACACAACGATCGGCCAAACTAACAATCATATGCGACCCTACCTGGAATCCATCACACACGTTCTGCACGTTAGACAATAACACAGCCAACACATCACAAGCAAGGAATCACAGACGGGCGCGTGCCTTAATTATAAGACAAAACCACTTGAGCACGTCCCATACCGTACCTAGCGTTTCTACCCCATAATTAAGCATCACATCACGCGATACAAACACACTCGCATGCTACTCACACCATGCGTCACTTTCCACAATCCTCTCGCTTGTCTTGCCAAATCCCACTCATTTTCTACCTTTCCACCACTACCGCGCCCGCGTAAAACGCATCAGGCCAATGGTCTTCGACCTCGTTAGGCATCGTCACCCCGTCGGGCCGGGCATCGTCACCTCGTCGGGGACGGCATCGTCCCGCGTAAACGTACACGCCTCGGGACGGAATCCTACACACACTTTCCTTCTACCGCGCCCGCATAAAACGCATCGGGCCAACGGTCTTCGGCCACGTCGCGGCATCGACACCTCGTCGGGCCGGGCATCGTCACCTCGTCGGGGGACGGCATCGTCCCGCGTAACATACACGCCTCGGGACGGACCTTTCCAACCAAACCACATTTCCATATCCTCGTTCCACTCAAACCACACTTACGCACGACCGGTACTCGCACGGCCAAACACAATTCCACATTGCATGCACATTTCACAATTCACATGCACTTTGCAAATATACATTCTCACCACGCCAGCACACCACACAATCATACACATATAACACGCGATCCCGAAGCACTATCACACATTCTTGGCACGCGAACATATTGCGCAATCGCACTGCCACACCATCACACCTCACGGCCACACACGTGACATATACGACCACACGTACACAACCCGAAACACAATCCTAAATCAGCCAACTACCACAAATCGCACAATCACGCACAAATTTCCATTCAAGGCACAATCCCAATAATTAATCGCACAAATTAATTCCGATCAAACCTCAACATCACAGCCGTAATCCAAGCTCCCTAAACCTCAAAATTCTTCGCCTAATCAGTCCGCAACCACCAAATAATCAGTCACTCAAATCAGTCCCGAACAGCCCCTAAAATAGTCACAAATCGCCTAAACGGGGTCCTAAACGAGTCTAGAAATACCCGAGCTCCTAGGTAGTTTTTGGGGGAGACACTTACCCAAAAAGGCGAGACAGAATGCAATCTTGAGTCTTGTTAATCTTAACAGATATTGAAAAATTTAAGGAATTAATGCAGGGATCAAAGTGTGCTGATTAACACTATAGGGTACAAATTGATGTATTATTTTCCCCAAGAAGAGTGAAAACCTCACACCCTTCAACCAGTGGCAAAGCCCTACTCTTTGTTGACGCGAATATCCGTCACAAAAATTCTTTTTATAAGCCAATTGACAAAAAGGACTTAATGACATGCCCTAACTGCAAAAATATCCACTTATATAACATTGAGATCATTGTTAATAGGGCAATACTTAGAGGATGGTACCGTCACTTAAAAACGGCCAAGAAGAGGAAAGAGGGGGTGGTCTCGGCGAGATCGGGAACACACGAATGAGAGAGAGGAAATTCTGGTCAAATGAGTCAAATATAACTTAATGGAATCCAAGTGTCAAAATCTTGGCCAATGGACAATTTTGCCCTTGATCCAAAGGCAAGGATTTGCCCTAATCCAATAATTTAGGGGTGAAATGGTCTTTTGTCCCTAACCATGGTTGACCAGACCTGGTTTAATCCCAATTAACCTTGGTTAACCCCAAAATTTTGACCAATTTTCGGAATTAAATAAAATGGTCTTAGGGGCATTTTCGTAATTTTCCGATCCCGAACCGAAATTCCAATTTTTCGCACATACGTGTTCCATATGTGCGTGGCCAACATAATATGGCGTCGGAATCGCGAAATTCATCGCACAAGCCCTCGAAAATCCACGTCAAAGTTTCGGGAATAAAATAATATTATTTTTCCAATTTTTGTCGAAATTCCAATTTTTGGCCAAAACCACTCTAAATGTGCGTGGCCACCCCAAAATGACCTTGGCCGCGAAAAATAACCTCAAACGGCCTCCGAGTCCAGCCTCGGTGCCACAGAACAAAACGTAATTTTCCGGCCCGAACCAAAATCCATTTTTTTGCGAAATGGGTGGCCCCAAGGTTGGCCAAGCCAAAAACGTCATCGGCCGTCCAAAATTGTCACTTTCAAAATTCTCGATTCCCGAGCCCGAATTCCAAGAAATGACTAAAATCGAACAATCGCGACTTTAGCTTATCTCTTGCTAACGGGTGGCTCATTGGGATTACGCGCTCTCGACCCGTGACCGACACTAAGTCAAATCACGTTTAAGTTTGCTCGAACCAAGACGACCTCGATTGTCATATAATTGCGAGGGTCTGTCACTAGTGCCCTTTGGACACGATCAATCAAATAGATCGGTCTCGATTGGCTCAAAACATTCCCTCGTCAATCGATATGGTCGAAGATCGAACCCAGGTCGAGTTCTTTGATCGTGCGAACTCAATCCCGTAATAGCCCTACTCCTAAGGTTAGCATCCCGTGAATGCGCATTTCCGGGTGAGATCTCACTATAAGTGCATTGGCCAAAATATTCATTTCATGAATCCCGAGAAAAGGATCGAAAATTCAGACTGTTACACAACCCGTACAAGCTCAATATTTTTACCTAGAGATCACAAAGAGAGAGTTCAAGTCCGAATTAGTTTACATATTCAGTTGGCGCAACTTCACTCAAAATCTTAATTTAATAAATTATGGGCCAACTATGATAGCAAATCTCCCCCTTGCGAGTGTTCCTTCCGCATAGACGTTCTCTCAACTTGAATTTCCACATTGGCCTAGCCAAGTTTGGCAAAGTGTTGGAGAGAGGAACGACATCCACCCTTCAAACTTTACCTCAGTTGCCTTGGCCCAGCCTAGTTCGGTAGTAAGTCTGGAGAAATGATCCACCACCTTGATTAGAAAGTCTCATCTGAGATTCATTCCATGAGATATATTAAAATGCACGTGTGAGTTATGTTAGAGAAGTCTCACATTGGATGAGTGATGCGGTGTAAAGCAGTTAATATATCATAATTGGCTCATAACTCATTGGCTTAAATTTTTTATTGAAAGTAGGTCCAACTGGATATGTTGACAGGCTCGGACATAGACTCCCTCTTGGCCTTTTCCCTAGGTGAAGGTATCGGGCTTTTACTATGCGCTCCCAACAAATGGTATCAAGCCGATGGTTGATTGATGACCTACTCCCCATGTCTATCGGTGTTTAGTGAATATCTCAAGG